CTTCGGTAATCTGCGTGGCAACTCTGGAAAACAACGTGCGACCTGCCTGGTATACCCTTCAACAAGGCGATACACTGAAGGGACACCCAGGGTGGATACTACACTGCCCACGAATTCCTGTCCCGAGCGAAAGACACTCCCCTTCGGTGTTTGCCATCGGGGTTGGGTTTTCCTCGCTTGGTAACGATGTTCTAAAGCAAGCTGATCACTTGGTGAGCTCGGCGACTAGTTTACAACTATTTTTCTGGTCTCTGAGTTTATTTGTTGCGGTAACCTAATGGTGGTCGAGGAGATTATGTTGTGCGGGGTCGGGAACCCTTACTCTGCGCAGAGGGGATGATCACACCACGTTGTGAAAAATTGGTGAAGCACCCTCGAGGCTCGAGGTAGTCACACGATACTTGCAACTGTCTCTGGAAGTCAAAGAAATACATCAAGTCATACGCAGCTGTCGTCCGTACGCAAGGAAGTAAGCATGAGATGCCGAACATCCTCAGCAGGATGCAGCGCACCCTTCATGCGACTCGCCGAATACCTCACGGTCCTTCGCGCTTGGTGATGTACACAGNAAGTATTATAGAGACTGCCTGACGGCCGACTGATCGTGGGGGGCGAAATCAACCTCTTGGGTTCTGATTGTTGTTGCACGATCAAGTCACGAGAACAAAATTTGGCGGTGTAGGTGTTTAGCTCGTACTGACTGCAAGTCGGAAGCACCTCGTTGCACGCCTCAAAGTGAGCATGTTTTGCACGGTGTCCATGACAATATATTAACATCATTTCAGAGAACTGTGAATGGAATGTTGTAGCCTTGGAGGTGTTCAGAACCGGAAGGGAATGGAAGACGAAGAGAAGCAAACAATGTCGTCGCCAATTTCTCTGGTATTTTTGGTTCAGCGAACAGGTCCGACAACTGAGTGAAAACAAAACAAGTGCCCATGGGACAGATGTCACCGGTAACGACCGGCAGAGCAGAAAAGCTAACTACTCTGACAGCACCTCATGCGTCTGACAATTGCTTGGCTGACGCGACATGAATTGTCGGCGACAAACATGAGTCATATACCTCCTGCGACTGCGCAACCTCCGTTCGCGGGATCTCTTGAATCTCTTTCCATACATCCAAACACAACAAAAACTCACAACGAGGGCGGGCAATTTTTCGCCCGACGTCCGTGTTCTGAGTACTCATTTCCGCGAATACTACACGTGCTCTTTGCCATGTACACGGCTGGGAAGATAATTAAATAATTACTTGCTTGACGGGCGTATACCATATCCTGGGTTCTGTTGTCTTGGCAGATTGTTGTTTCTCAAGCCGGCCTCGCTGAAGTGACCGTTCCTCTTTTCCATCCCACAGGAGATGCTGTGCTCTCGAGTGTTGTGTAGCGAATGAAGGTACCGAATCACAGGTGCTGGTGCACGAGCAAGAGTGTGCGATGAATCGACGTTTGTTCTGACCAAATGCCCGCTGAACGACACCGCCCACGGAACAAGGGCGGGCATGAAAAGGCTTTGGGACATACAAACAACGGAGGCAGTACCTTCCTCGACACGTTCCAAAGCGAATTCGCCAATCCGAGTGAGTGAGAGCCAAAAGACAGGTGCATCAGCACGCCATCAAGCTCATGTGGACATTGCGGGATACCGGACGCTTGTGACCTTCCAACCCCCACCAAACGACAACCACTCCAAGCCAAGCGGGGGACTGGCCTCTTCGCTCGCCCAATGGTCCAAAAGGAATCACAACGAGGCGACACGTCTCCGGGCATGAACCCAAAAAAATGCCCTGTGCCGTAAGGGGAAGCTTTCATACGTGAGCGATGAGGTCAACCAAGACGTAACGGTGACTGCAGCTCATTTCTGAGACACGTCAAACCAGGACTACATTCCTTGTCAGGTAAGTTCCAATCCGCGGCAACGCATTCCACCATAGAGTAAAGAGTAATAGTCCGTCATTGAACGTTCTTGCATGTTCGTGCCCAAATCTGTTTCGCGAAGGGTCTCATTGAGGGCATCTGACGAGGCCAGAGTCCGCATTCCGTGTGTGCCACGTTTCGGGGTAGCCTTCGTCCTATTGCATAGTACAAGCTCTCCACTCTCAAAACCAAGTACAGTTGCGCATAATTGTTCCCTGTTGACGGCGATATTTACTCGGCGAACGTTTGTCATTCGATTGCACTTGCCCAAACCAACACGCGGACAGATTTACGCTTTCCGGCTGAAACGTTTTCGAATGGCAAACGACAGTCAGTCGCAGATGAAACAAGTCTTCGCCCTGCCCTACCAATCGTTCCCCCCGTTGTGTTTGCCGGGTCAAAGAGAGTGCACTTTCGGTGCTATGAATAATTTCGGGAGTCATGTGGTGTCTGCATCTGAAACCGCCGGGGGTGCGAACGATTATGAAAAAATTCTTTTGTTGATTCAATTACACAACTACACAACCCCGCTGGAAATTACACGTTCTGGTGCGGCCTTACGTCCCGGATGCGGAAAAAAGCAATCACATTCCTTGCTCATGGTTCGGCGCACCACCCGTGCGAACTCAAGAAGCAATGTGCAGTAGGGAACAAGCGTCAAGAGGGCGTTTGAAAGGGCTGCAGTAATGGGGAAGGGACGGAGCTGAGGGTGAAGGAGCTCTGAAGTGTGTCAGCATGGGGGTGTAAAGTTTCTTCGGGGTCTGCAGCTCTCTGCGAGTGTTTCCAGCTAGATCGAATGCACGCTTGGTTGAAAAATTGCAAGTTTAGCGAGGACGACGGCACCGTGCGTTAATGCCTGCGGGACATTGTACTTGCAGTACCCACTGTACTTGCTACTTTCAATATCTTTCGCTGTGCCGCATTCTGGACCTCTATCTCTCTTCCCACTATTTATCGGCGTAACTTTCGATTTGCCCGGAGGAAGTAAATTTCCCCTATGCAGGTAGGGCAAAAGTGATACTTCTGTATTCTCATTCTCGACGTGGTTCTTTCTGAGTTGCGCTCAGCCGGTGGCACCGTTCTTTTGTGGTCACTTGCAAAGTACCGTGAAGAAATAGATCCTGGCGCGACACACCCAATTAAACCAGCTATATAATAGTTTGATTTCCAACGTCTCGAGCTGGCATTCGGTATTCGGCACATCCTCATGGCGTGAATCACGTTGTGGCCGAAACGCGTTCTCAAGGAGAGCCACTGACGTTTGCTGGCCTCTCAAGATTAACAACCGCGGAGCGACGAGGGGTACACCAGCGGCTGTTCTCCCATTTTGGCGACGTAGCCTCATGAATTTCTGGCGTGTCTGAGCTAAACGTTCAACGCCATCAACCAGGAGAATACGGCTGTCTCCTCGATTCCTCTCAACGTTCCTTCGATAGTCCGCGAAAAAGGGTTGGGGGGGATTGAACCTGTTGCATTTTCCACATCAAGCCCTACACTGTTTCCAAGCAGTTTAACATGTGGTGGTACACGGAAGAAACAACAGGAAAGTGAGGATACATGAAAACGAACCCATGTATCACCCCCACAGACCAAGCCTGCACGAATGACAGCGGCCATCCTAGCGGCGTACGGGGTATCAAATCCAGGTGGCGCCAACAACGTCTAAGATCTGCGACCCATGAGAGAAGGTGATGGTGGGTCGCGCCGTGCCGCGAGGCTCGTCCAAATGGTACGCTGAACATCGGGTGAGCTGATACTCAAAGGAGTTGGGCTCACATAGGCAGGTATATTGTAGTCCTAACACAAGGGTGTAACCATGAACGTATTTCGTCCACGTTGCGAAAGTGGCCACGTTTACCTCCAGGGCACCCTCCTCATCATTTCATGATCATGACCTTCGGCCATCCCTCCCAATGCATTTAACAGGCACAAGCACTTTAGCCGAAGACAAAATCAACCCGCTTCGAATATCGAACGTCATGCCCGTGAACGACACAGGGCCTCTTTCGGTCGGCCTTGGCACCCATCCCTACGATGGGCAATAGGAACATGTCAAGGCAATGGTGCAAAAATCACGAACCTCGCTTACGCGTGCTCCCTCTCGGGAGCGACGTCCTAAGCCGACTCGAGCATTTGATTCGTAGACTCTTTCGGGTACTCGGCCTATCACCACCAAACATCTTCTCGTCCTACGCGAGGACCTTGTCGCCACAGCCAGCACCATATCACTTGTCACCGGCCATCACGCAGACAAATATATATGGCACTTTTCGTATTGAACGCTTTCCCCTTGCTGACGTCGGGCGACTTCCCAGACACGCAATAATCCTCTTTCAGCAGAAATAATCCGAGGAACACAGCCGGACGCACATGTTTGAATCACTGAAAAACACACCAACAGCACGAGGGATTCCCACGTCTCATCCCCCAGTGTAGCAACAGCGTGGCCCGGCGACACCTAAGCTTTCTGGAGCGGACCCGAGAGAAGGGTATTTGGCACAAAAGGTTGATTCTGGCTACACCTGCCCGCTCATACATTGCAGCAAAACAGCATTGGAAGTTGACCAACAGTGTTTGCATTTTATCGTTGCTGTACAACGTAAGGCTGTTGGTAATGCTGTATGACGATTGTTGAGGATGGATCGTGACGTCGGCAAGATTGATATTGGCATGAACCGTACGCGCCAATGATGTACTTCGGATCACCAAACGTACAGCCATCCTCCAGTCACAGCAAGCGCAGGAGCAGCGGTGAGGGGTGTCGAAGGTACCCTTCTGACCAAATGCGAACCCAGCAGCCGGCAAGACCTTGAGACAAATTCAACAACACCTTGTCGATCAAGCCAAAACCAGCTCGAAAGAACACCGATAACGCTGTATGCGAACACGGCCTTAAGCACACGCAGCGCCATGCCTCGGGGCTTCCTCTCTCGCGCCGCTGCTCAGAATTTATGGCTGCACCCGACAGAGAGTGCAGGGCAAAGAGACAGTTGACGTGCGCGTTTGTGCGGTCTAGACTTCACAGCTTGCTTTCGTACACACCGGGGGGGGAGGCCTCTTTCGTTGTGCGGAGAAGCCATGTTTCACCTGTCCTCGAATTATTTCCTGTGGGGTTCAACGCCAACAAGCTCGAAACGCGATCTAGCACCACGGGTTACATGGATCTTCAGACTAATGAGGTTGCCCAAGCCTGAGACGTATTCGAATTGCTTCCGAGAGACACAGACCCACGTCATTGATGATTTGTGCAATCCGAACGTATGAATTCAGCCTGGTCGTGCAGCACGTACCTACAAATTGCTACATACCGTAGATGCAACTTCACGGCCAGCGATCCCCACCCAGAATCGGCTAGTCACGCCATGTGAACACAGAAGTTGTGCACAATTCGACACATGCAACAGGGTTTACCTTCTCCCACGGCGAACTGGCCGTGGGGGGCAAGTCAACCTGGTAGTTTCTGATCGTTCTTACGAAATCAAGCCACGGAGAATGAAATCTGACAGTCGATGATCGGTTCGCAATGACTGCACGCCGGAATGCACCTCCAGGAAGCAAGTTTCCAGGGTGTACATGTCGACATACAACCGTAGTGCGCGAGAAATTGGAACAAGTATCAACTCATGTAACCTTTACGGAATGTGTGGCGTTTGAGCTGTTCGGAAACGGGGGACGATGGAAGACGAATAGAATCACAGCATTTTGCTCGTTTTCTTCTCCGCTGTTTTTCGTAGCGAACAGGTCCGACAGCTGCTTGAAATCGAAATAACGCTACCTAGACAGATGTACCCGGAAACGACAAACAAAGCAAAACGGCATCTGGCAAGTCGATAACGAGAGGCACTCAATGAAGGACCAAATACGTCAGCTATACTGCGCCGGAATATAGACGCATGTCGGGCAAATCCAAGCCAACACGTCATCGAATACAACGTCGGCGCCACCTGGTGCCTTTCTATTTGGTGGTCGTCCACGAAATCATACCATACAAACCATGGAGCGCTTGAATCGGCGTTCATGATTCGGGCCAGAAACCACCAGGATTGTGCACAAAATCTCGATGAACCTCACGAAAATGACTGCGAAACATCGAATCTTGCTACGATGCACTGTCGCTACCCTTCGCCCAAATACCCCTTGTTGGAGAAGAGAAAAGCTGCCGCGCTAATGCGTTTCAGTTCGATATTCTGGACTGCTGCACTACCAAGGGCGGCCTCCCTCAATGGCATCTGTCCTCAACAACGACGGCATTATTTCAACACAGGTAGCCCTCATTTGGTCAGTATCTTACCATGCTTGCAGCTTACAATTTGTGCTTGCTTTGGGCCCTCGAAACACAGCGTTTCCCCAAACGAACTGTATAGGATGAGCAATTGCGGTGCTGTTCACACACCCTTGTCCCCACCGAAGAAAAAAAGCTCGACCGCCTGCGGTTGCAACGGCCGACCTCTCTGCAACCCTTCAACGTCTGAAACAATTGGCCTGGTCGGACGACAAACCCAATATCGCACTCACCCCGGCCTCGAAGATATGCACGCGTGCAGTTTCCGAGAGTATGGGAATTTGTTCCTGACTCAATCGCAGAGTCTGAGCGATGGCCCCACTGCTGTTGTCAATGTTAAACATACTGTACCCTTTCACACGACTCGATTGGGCTCACGTCCTTCTTGCGAGTGGTTGGCACAAATCACGGGGCACAGATGTCCGACGGTAGTATTCTAGTATGTCATTCTACTGGAGGTGTTATCCATGACCACACCGAAATTCGTTTCTTTGTCTGTGCATAGTGCCGAGAGCTAATCGACAGAAAATGTTGCTGTTCGGTGAGTGTGAAGACTTTATTTCGGCAATCAAAACCACATCAGCAGAGGTGACACCAGGGGGGGCCAATCACTGCGACTCAGAGGCTGAGTTGAGAACAACAAAATACTTGCATCCTCGCAGTCCTACTAATCTGGGGACAGCTCATCACTCAGCAAATCACCTCTTCTCAGGACATCGAACAAACGATCCAGAATTGAACGTGAGCAGTGCAATCGCCGATTCGATTCCTGGTATGGACATGATCTTTGGTTTAAATGCTCGCTGTTCAATTTCGGAAAAACAAAGAACTTTCTCTCAACAATGATAGGTGACTCTCTACTAGTTAGCATGACACCACCGGTGAGCAGGTGTCACAGGTGTTGGTCGGAAGCGAGAACCATGCAAACAAGACTTGAGTTTGAAAGAGTGAAACGATACTTCTGATGCAGCATGAAATTCCAGACAAGGCATCTCTTCACTTGGGACAATGCTTTCAAACACACCAGTCTCCTCCGAGAGGGCTAGTAGTGACCCATCGAAGTTCTTTCACCGATCATCAAACACAATTCTGGGGTGCGACCACGACAACGACTCGCTGGGGCACGCGGGAGCTTCGCCCCTGTAGCATCACTCACCACTCAGTTGGTTGTATTCCAGCCCCAGCCACTCCAGCGCCGTTAGTCCTCCCAGAGCAGACGGAATCGGTCCTGAAGCACGACGCCCACAGCATGCGACCAAAGACGGACAAGCGCATGACAGGTGAACAAAGCATGCAACATGCCACGCGTTTACGCTCATCGCACTGGTGCCCAATACAAACGTGCATGACACGGAATATATCGGCCCATCGCTCGGCAACGCTGCGAAGTCGAGCAACACCAACCTGCCCCTCGCACGGTAAGCCCTTCGATACGCGTTGGCCTTGCAGGGACATGAAAGTTGAAACACAGAAACATACAAGGTGATGGTGGGTCGCGCCGTGCCGCGAGGCTCGTCCAAATGGTACGCTGAACATCGGGTGAGCTGATACTCAAGGGAGTTGGGCTCACATAGGCAGGTGTATTGTAGTCCTAACACAAGGGTGTAACCATGAACGTATTTCGTCCACGTTGCGAAAGTGGCCACGTTTACCTCCAGGGCACCCTCCTCATCATTTCATGATCATGACCTTCGGCCATCCCTCCCAATGCATTCAACAGGCACAAGCACTTTAGCCGAAGACAAAATCAACCCGCTTCGAATATCGAACGTCATGCCCGTGAACGACGCAGGGCCTCTTTCGGTCGGCCTTGGCACCCATCCCTACGATGGGCAAT